CCGCCCAACCCACCCACCTCTCCGCTTCCCTACCTGCCTGTCTGCCTGCCTCCCCCCCTTCCCCCCCAAACATTCCCATTTCTCTAATGTTATCATTCATCAAAATGGCGTCGGTTTTCAGCATCTACCAGCCTTTTTATTTAATATCCATGCCGGGGCTGCACAGCCGTGACCCTATGGGGACTAGGAGGGAGCACAAGGGGCTTCTGCAAGCCCAGCTATCTCCCTCGCCCGTTCAACGATGGGCGAAAATAAATGGCAGCTGGAAGGAGACGGCAAACGCACTTTCCTCCTTCCACATCCTCTGGGTCGCAAGTTGAATTTCAGCCTTGCCGTGCGTTTTCCTCCTCCTTGGCCTCACTTCTATTGTCAGCGCATACACGGCGTGTGTTTGCCGTGCCGGGGGCGAGGGCTGGCTGGTGGCGGGGGGAGTGGCGTCTCGGCTGCGGGGACTCGCTAGTTAACATCCTGCTCTTCCTGGAGGAGATGAGTTATAACGGGACCAGCATCTCCTCTATCCGTTTGCACTGGAGTCGTCATAACAATGCACCGAGGCAGGGGTGAATTTATTTGCCCAATATTAAGGGCAGCGGTCTGGCTGTACGTAGTGCGTGGTTCAGCCAGCTATGTTAATCCGGGTGGGCACGACTGTCACACATAGGCACTTCTTGAGACGCTTGGAGTCTCGGATAAGAGAAGTAAAGTGAACTGGGATCGTTCCTTCCGCTTAGGGGAAAAAAATAGCAACTTTGTGAAACAGGTTTCATGATAAAAATCTTGATATCCACGCCAGTGGGACGTTGCCTTAATTACTGGGGAGAGCCGAAGTCTGGGGAACCAGCGGACCCTTACTGTCTTGCACTTTTTCGGAGCCGGTTACGGAAGGTGCTTAGACTTAAGGGTAGCTGGATTTAGCGGTGGGGTGAGGGCACTGACAGTTGTGCAGTTGCCGAATCAAACTGGGAATCCTTTTTTCTTTTTCCGCCTCCATTCGTTATATATATTTTCTTCCTGTTCCGATTGTGTGTTTTAACGCTAGTGGTGGGTAGAGGACTGGCATTGTCTATCTCGTCACCTTTTAAGTGTATTTAAAATAAGTGACTTAGGCTTTTGATCAATTGGGAAAAATTCTTCTTAATGTCCTTTAATTAATGAGCTTAAAAGAGATCATTGTCGCTTAAGAAGTGCTAAAGGAATACATCAGGATTACTTAGGCAAGTGATTCCATCCGCACCATGTTGAGTTGTTTTCTTGGCAGTGGCTGAAATGCTTGGAATAAAACCCCACATTTTGGGTGGGTTATTTGGTAGCAGAGTAGTCGTTTTGCTCACTTAGGAAGAATGCAGGCAATAGCTAATTGCTATTCTCATGTGTTTGCTAATGACAAACAAATAGCCCATCAGAATTTACAATTCATTCCTTCTTAGTTTTGGCATTTCTTTTCCAGTATTTTCAAGGAAGGTTGTAGTTGTCACTAGGCACGTTTTCGTGCAAGGCTTTATTTTTTTTAAAGGGGTCCGATCATTTCTGCGTGCGGTGGTTAGCATTGAGAAAAAAATCCCCCTTTGAAATATGATTTGGATTTTATTCTTATTCTTTTACAGAATTAAAGAATCTATGTGGATTCTTTAATTTGCTCAGAATAAACGCACATATTTTAAAATGTCAAAGGCATACTCTAAACATGTCTTGTAGAATGACGCAACTGGTTAGATGTAAATGCATGAATTACTGGATGAGTTGAAAGATGTAATATTTTGTTTATTTGTGGGTCTGGGGAGGAAAAATCAAAGTTTGTAAGCCATATTAACCATGCATATCTCAATTTTTCAGAGGATGGCCAGTATTTTCTAAAGGTCCTCATACCTAGTTATGCTGCTGGATCTATAATTGGGAAGGGAGGACAGACAATTGTTCAGTTGCAGAAAGAGACTGGGGCCACCATCAAGCTGTCTAAATCCAAAGATTTTTACCCAGGTAGGTGCAAAAATTAGCCAATTCTTTATTTTTAAATCCCAAGGGACGTATGTACGTATCAGTGTGTTTCATATATTGGCGACTACGCTTCCAGTGCAGCTGGGAGCATTATTTCTCAGAAAAGTACGTTATAAAGTGCAGCAGTGAATGTAAATGTTCTGCCTGTCTTGGTGTATGGAATGGACTGGGCGCTAACTGCTTGAAATATGTTTAAAGATGTTTACAATGTTTCTGCAGAAGAATATTTTCATTAACATTTTGATTGCTTTGTTTTTTAGTTTAAAAAAAAAATTAGCTTTAAGGGAACCAACTTGACAGCTGGCATAAAAATAATTGTTCGTTTGAGGTTTCCAGACATTGTAATGACAATTAAGCTAGAATGAGTAAAAATGAGAGGCCGCCTCTTAAAGAATGGGCCATTTACTTTAAATCCATTATGTACCTTCTTTCTGCTTCACTGCTTTGTTCACTGGCTCTGGAGTGAAGTAAAGAGGACAAGTGCTGCTCTTTAGATATTCTTTATATTATGTTTATCGTGATGGTGGAAGAAAACTATTATAAAAGTGAAATACTTTGGATGGATTAAGAAATGAGTATTTTATCAACTGTACTAACGCACAAGAAGGAAGTTTTTAATATTTGCGTATAACAATAAGAAGTATCTGATTTAGCATTTCTCCTTTATAAGATTTCTGAAGAGGGAGTCTTACATAATGATATACAAGATTTTAGCTTCTGCAATTGGATAATCATTTTTTTCCTAAAGATGAACAAATTAGCATTCTGTAATTGAACTTTGTTCTAGAGGACTTTTTAAAAACTGATGCAAAATAATAATATAGCTAACACTTCTCGGTGTTTTGATTTTGTTATTTTGAAAAATAACTGGTGATTTAGAATTGAGTTGACTAGCTGTTATCGACTCTTTTCTCTTGGAAAAATAAGAGCTGCTTTGCATTTGATCTACTTTAACAAGATGACCGAGTTCTACAAAATAGTGAAGGCAGTTGGGATGGATGTAAACAGAACACTAACACTGGAGCATTTAGCTTTCCTGTCCTCTAACTTCAGTGTCAGGCAGAAGTGGATAATTTTTTATTAATGGAGAGTTTGTGTTCTATTTACAATGATGATTTTTGATGTGGAAATTCTAATGCACCTGTTGTACATCTCCTTAATGAACGTAGTTTATAATACCTAAATGTCAGAGGTGAAAGTGATGCATGTAGATTTTTCCTGTTGAAGGATACAGCTTATGAACTGATGCAAGTTGTCTTTGAGGGCTTTTAAAAAAATTTTTACTTTTCTTTAGAAAGTTAGAAAAAAATGGTCTTTTATTTTGAAAGGTATGTTAGGGTGGAAAAAAAAATCAATGTAGAATTGTGAAAACTCTTGGAAGAAATAAAAGCATTCAAAAGAGCCTGATTGCAGAATTAATAACATAATCTGGGTAAAGAGCCGCAATAGTAAATTAAATTCACTGTCAATAGATGAAAATGAAATAGATTTTCTGCATTATACATGAGGTGGTATCAGATATGCAAGGATGTTACAGAAAATTGGTGTTTATGAAGAATATTCCAAATACCAAATTACAAGCCTTTTCATTTTACTACAGTTTATTTACACTCACTTGGGAAGGACGCTCCAAAGATTAGATCTTTTGTTCAGTGCTCTAGCATAGTTCTTCTGTTTTCTGATTAAATCAGAATTACATATTTTTTGTGTAGCAAATTATAAAGATACAGCAGTAGTAGCAGAAGAACCTTTGAAAAATAAAAATTAGCAAGCAAGAATGATATGAGTAAAAACGTTTGTGACAAACACATTCTCTCTTAAAATCAGTAGTAATAATATAACTAGGACAGCGAGGCTTAAGCAGTTTCACTGTAACAGGTGCAAATGAAGTTCCAGTTTGACTTCATACAGTCTGTTTTGAATTTGCAGCCACGTTGTGTCATATAGAAAATGAGTGTTTTAAGGAAGTTGGCGACTGATACCTGCTAAAGGATGGAACAGGGATGAGAAATGGATTCCGGTGTGGCTAGCTCTCGTTAGTCTTTCTGTTTGCGTTTGACCACCAGCCCATGGAATTTTCGGAGGTCCTGGCATTCCCTGAGCTGATGGCTTTTGGGTTTCTTCCAGACTTTCGTGCTCACATAGCATTAGGGAATACAAACCTTGTGAAATAGCTAATATAAACGTACGGTTTATTTTTCTTACAAAGTTTCTTAAACAATTATTCTGTTTTCCTAATAGAAGTTACTTAGCCCGTACCTCTGATGCTTGTGACTATAAATGTGTTTAATGTACATTTCATTACGGAATGTTCTCTTGACGAAGCTTCTGTGAAACTTTTCTGTATTTCTGAAAAGTTTTAGCACAGTCCGAGTAAGTTGCTGTTTGGAAAGGAGGAAGTTGATTGTAATACAGAAGTCATGAGTAGTTCCTATGATCTAATAGTGTTCTTTTTTTTTTCCTCTGTGATATAGGACTTCAGTATGCAGACTGATTTCTGTTGGAATTATTTTTGTGCATCAAAAGGTGACATAATTACTGAAGAATTATATGGCAGCTCTAATTACAAGAAATTGAAGGAAAAAAACAGCTTTTCACTGAACATTTTAGTTTACAAAATAGGAAGCAGTATATAAACACATTACCATCCACTACAGTCTTATTTTTTGAGTACACAATTTATTGTTCTCTTTTCAGGTTACCCGCTGACTTTGTCTAATTGTCTGGACTTCTGCAATTTGACTTTGGTCATTGTGCGTAGATTATCCCTGATTCTTTTCTGTTCAGGCTTGTCCCCCTAGATTAGTGGAAATGAAATTAAAATGGCAAAATATGCCCTACTTTTAAACTAAATGGTGCTGATCCTTTCTGCAGAGAAGTACAGAGTGTGTATTGACTAGTAGGTTCTGGTCCAAAATTTAAATACAGATGTAGCCATGCTACTTTAATATTAATGAAGTGAACTTCAGAAACAAAGTGGCCATTCTGTGAAGCTATTGTAATGTATGGTTTTATTTTGAATAATATAAAAAAGAGTCACTATTTGTGTTGTATTAAGCTCTCATTGTCTTATCTGTTTCTCCATTCTGAATTATAGTGAGCGCTGGATTGAAAACTACTCTGGACATATGTATTTTTTTCCATTGGGAATGCTGGCGTGCACTCACTTCCTTGCTGTCTCTCTCATGCACTCTTGCGCTTGCTCCCTCTCTGCACTCCTGCCCCAGTCTCACACATACACACACACATGCGCGCATACACACGCACAAAATTATGTTACATCACATCATGTTGTTTATCTTGCAACAGGATCTTGCCTGGTCTGAACTTGGTGCTTGAGTGAATTTGAGCTCGGTCAGTGTTTTTCAATTTATTGGAATATGAAGTCAGATGTGTACTGAAATTAGATCATATTAAGAGCAGAGATTAATAAAAACATAATTAAATGGGGATAAGGTTTTAGTGCTTTTAACAACAGATTAGCTGTGTTGTTTTTATAGCAGATTTCTAACCAGTAGTGATCTAAATGTTTGGAGAATACAAAAGGTGGGAGTTTCCTCCCCCTCCTTGTGTAGAGAGTGTGTGAGTGTTGTGTGGCTATGTTATGTTTTTACCAAGTGGCTTGTATTTGAGATGTTTTGTACTCAAATATCATTTTTTTTAAACATTCGTGTATTATGGGAAATCGTCTAGCTAATCTTTATGCAACTGCCCTTTTCAAAAATTTCTTATTCTGACTCTTAAAAACCTTTCAAACGCATTGAATGTGTAACAAACACAACTTTATAGGAATTTATAATTAATAAGTTCACTTTCTAGCTTCATTACTCCTGTTAAACTGTTAGGAAGAGGGAAGGTATAATATATCAAGCCAGGTTCACCATTATTATTTCCTTTATATAATAAAGAAATTATCATGTTAATTTATAACTCTTAAAAATAACCTAAAGTCTAGTAGGGAAAATAATCTGTTTTAAAAATCAACACTTGAAATATTGTTGAAGTGAAATACTGCTTTTTCAGCTATGGAAGAGAAAAAAGAATAATGGAGTTAGAAGCGAGAATGGCATTAGTTATTAGCTGTCTGTTGTCATGGTTCCTCGAAGGTGGTTTCTCATACATCAATAAATGCATCTCACTTTTATTCTTGATACTTCTAACTTTTTCTAAAGTGTTAACATTAGGTAGTTAGAGACTTCATAAGTATACATCTAAGATTTTCAGATTCTGTTGTAAACATTTACTTATATGAGTAACTTTGGGGATAATGGGACTGAGGAAATGGCTAAATAGTGAATAGAGATTTCAGAGGTGTGTAGGTTTGTAAAGTAATCACTGGAATCACTAATCTTTTTCCTAGTTAAAAAAAAAAAGAAAAAAAGACTGACCACCAAAAACCCCCAAGTGTTGATTGCCAGCTGTTCAGAGAGATAATTCTCAGTTGGACAGTTGTCTGTTGCCTGGTTACTGGAATAGAATAAAAAAAAGTTAGCTTGTTAGCCAGCAGATCCTTAGTATTTTACATTTAAAAGGAAGCTGAAACGGAATATGTAACTTGGTATGATCGTGAGATTGTTACATATCTAACTCACCCAGTGTACTATCACTTAGCAGCTTCTCATTTGGTAGGCTTAGAGAAATTTTGAGTAGAAGTTTAAGTAGAAATTTTGCACTGATTTATTCTACAGGTAGGGACGTATTCATCTTAATTAGTGAATAAATTTTGACATAGTAAATGGCTTTGGTTTGCAAGAAAGTGCTGTGTCTTTGTCTTGTATAAGGAAGGTTTAAAACAACTTGTGATAGATTTGGAATGGTTAGTCTAAGTTTAATAAATGATACAGACTAACTATATGTGCACTCGGTTGGCACAATAAAGAACAAAGGATGGCTGTTATCACAGGGAAATGCCATATTTAATTTTCAACTTTTTTCTTGCGATTGCTTTTGATTAGTTTTCAATATAATTGAAAACCAAATGA